TTTTTCTTCTTTGAAGTATACCATTTTAGGCACCGTTGTCCCGGAAGTGAATTTGGACCGAAAGTAAAGCCGGAAATGAGTGGTACATGAGGCAGGAGGCACGGCAACACTATCTTCTCGCGCTGACTATATAAACGTTCTATTCTAAAGACGAGAGGAAGAAAGCGCTGTGGAAGCGGATCCTATCAAAATTATCGGAAGAGACAGTTTGTTCACAATGCACAGTCTCTCGCAAAGTCACTCTCGACGAACTAAATATCGCGAAACGACAATCGCAGCTTCGTGACTTTTGTATTAAACGAGTTAAAGAAAAAAAAAGAGAGAGAAGCGCACGAGATTTTCGTCGATCAAAATATAATTGAAAATCGATAGAAATCCGATAAAAGAAACGATTCAAAAGTCAAAAGACGATTACTCGAGTTTCTAAATACATGCACGTTTCTTTCATGTTCTCATCAACTATAATAATAACAAGGTGGAAGTTCGCTATATGCGCAATGTAAACCGAATCTCAGCCTTCCCCTGGTTAAGTACATACTCATACTTCAGGTACCAAGGATAATTGTAACAATAAACAAGATCTGAAGTATACAGTAAGTATGAAAAAAAAAAAAAAGGAAAAAATCAGCAAAGAAGAATTAAAAATCTGCTTGATCTACAATAGATTAAGAATATAAATATCCGGGGGGCCGAGGGACATTTGTATTCGCGGAGATATTTTCGTGTGTATCGACACTTACGCTACACCGCAGTAAAATCTACACTTGTTTGGTATTATAAATTGATAATGTGGCTAATAATACATCGCCTTTGGAAGATCACTGAGTTTTATCTAAAATAAACAAGTAAAAAGAGAATCGTACAATTGGGATATAATCTTAACAGTATAATCAAATGAACGATTTGTCCAATGTAAAAAATACATTCGTAATTACTTTGTAGAAACAAAGCATTATCACTACTATTTAAAATGAATTTCTTAACCAAATAATATTCCCGTAAAAACGGTCATACAAAATGTAACGTACAACGTCGTTGTTTAAAATCGTCGAATCGTACAATTAAAAAAAAAAGAAAAAAGAGGAACAACAGTAAGTTGTTCAGTTGGAACAATAAAATCTCCAGATCGTGAAACATTTATGTGAAACAGATCGTTCGTCACAAAACGTGTAGAAAAGGAAATGTAATAGCATTGAGAACAAACCTGTACATTGGATAGCGGATGTTGCTAATGGCTAAAGATAGCGGGAAGCTAGCTATGTAGGAACGTATACTATTAAGTAATACTTAAATATTGGCGCAATAGTAGAATCTCTTTCCTATAACTCAATATCGCGTCAATATCTAAATATCCGACGAATATAACATATGTCTCGATTCATCATATACAGCATGGGACATTTACATTTTCGTTGTTTTTAGAGATATGAACATATTAATAAAAGTTGTTCGGTATGTTAATTTTAAATTTAAATTTAATACTAAACTAATCAGCTAATATTAATGAGTTAATGTATAATTAATGAATCAAACAACATTCTGTTTAAAAAGTGGAAATCTTAAACTCTCCGAAATCTCTTTACTTGCAAAAAAAATCATTGCCATATTGCAGCCCCCGCAATTAATTAATTAATTACGTATTGTGTCCACTCGATATTCTCTACAAAGAATAGAGTAATTTTGTAATTTTAAATGAAATCCATGGATGAAAGACAAGGGCAACATGAACATAAAAAATACTATCCTTGTTTTTCTTCGTCTGTACTGAATAACTTTTATTAACAAAGTTTATCTATATTTCCAAAAACAACGGAGATATCCAGATGTTCCCAATTAAATGACCTATCCTGTATAATATTGGGGGTACACAGTAGTACTTTTATGATTAATCGAGATCTTTTATTTCGGTGATATGTTGCGTAACGTGAAAAATATTGTGTTCTCTGTTCTTTATGGAAAGCGATGCATTTCATTTTATAACACCCAAAGAATTCGTTCAACGATTTTCAAAAGCAACATTTAGTTTTCCTAGTAACGTTCAAACAACAGACTGTATTGCATGTATTCGTTAAAATTTATACAGAAAATGTACTACTGTGTATCTCTCACTAATAAATCAGTATATATTCATTACAATCACAATACGCATGAAATCCTATGCAAAAGTTCTGGTCGAAATGGAGTAGAGAACTTGTACTATGGTAAGACACGAATCGATGACGCGTAATGACAAGAAGGATAGTTCTAGCTGCATAATCCCGAAGGATCGACCAGTCCACGCGCGATCAATTCGGCCGTTGCTGGATCGCTTCCCTGTTTACCACTCGAATGTTGCGGCGGCGTTTGCTGCGTGTGAGGTTCGAAATGGGAACGTACGTGGAACATGAATTCAGCCTTATCTGTGAAATCTGTGCGGCACATCAGACAGAAGTGCCTCTCAGACGTGTACGGCTGCGGAGGAGCTGTGGATCCTGGGAAATACGGCGCTGCGTGTTGTGGCGGAGCCGATGCTTCCAAGTGAGAACTATAACAGAAATTAACAGTCAGACTAAAGGAGCTTTCGTTACATTCGCTACAGCGATACGTAACATATATATACGAAATTTTCAATATCGTTTCTCTTCTTCAAGTGAAAATGTCACCGTAGAATAAAATTATGCGAAATATTCATTTACGTTACATTTACACACGCTAAAGGTGAAAATTACCGAGCATGCTGCATCCACTCTTCTCTCGTGGCTAGTGCTCGACCGCACAATTCACACGCCCAACTAACCGGCTCCTCTTTCAACTTGTGTATAGTATCCTGCCGAGATTGCTGTTGCTGTTGCGGTTGCTGCGATTGTTGCTGCTGCTGCTGAGCTTGCTGCTGTTGCTGCTGTTGCTGCTGCTGATCCGAATTCGGGGCGCTGGGCGTAGAAAGTGGCGCCACTCCTGGTCTATGTCTCAACTTGTTCATGTGAATAACTAGTTTATCTCTGCGGGCAAACGCTTTGCCTGAAAGCAAAGGCCGTAACGTTGATTAAACTTGAACAACTATATAAGTTGTCATACAGTTTGAACACACTTACCGCAAACTTCGCAGGAATACGGCTTCTCCCCTGTATGAATACGCATGTGGATGACGAGCTTGTCCTTACGAGCAAGACCTTTGCCACAAACGGTACAGGCGAACGCCTTTGTCGCCGGTTCGCCCGTATTAGTAGCCTTTGACGCAAATCCTGGACGAGACGACACATTGTTTGTCGTTCTTAACGGCTGATTCACTGTAGGAGCTCTGCTTCCAAATTGCTGATCCATCGCACTAGGAAATGGGGGCATCACGCCGCCAGGTCGCATTGCTGCTGAATAGTCTGGAGACCTATTTCCATTGCAATCGATATTTTTAACATTTCTATTCTGATCAATAAGATGCAAAATACAGGGTATATATATTAACTCATCAGAAGTAGATAGGGGACACACTAGATGATTTTCTTACAAATGAACAGACCATTTTCTCACTTGATTTCTGATGCCATTTGAAAATAATTATACAACAAGGCTATTAAATAGATTTCACCTGGACTTCGTGAAAGATTCCGAAATTTCTTGATAACAAGCTACATACGTACAGACATTTTGAGCATCTTTTATTAAGATAAACACGTTACGAATATTCGAAAGACAAAACTGAAAATTAAGATGAAATAGAATACACTTTTTCATTTCTTTATCAACTTTTCTCATCGCTTCAATGTCCTCTGTCCACTTCTGAAGCGTACGATACACCCTGTATGCATATAAAACGATAAAGCTTGATTAGAAAAGTTATTCTATGCTTGTCATTACTTGTTGATACTATTTATATAGCAATATACGTAGCACAGTTTCAAGACAGTTACCATGTCCCAATAGAGCGAAGTACGCGTACACCGTCGTCATATCCCAAACCATCGTCAGGCAAAGTAAAAGTTGGATTAGGCGTTTGAGGTGTCGCAGGTGGACCAGGACCAGCCAGTCTCGCTTGTGCAGCTTGTTGTGCCATGTGTTGCTGCACTGCAGCATGAGCCACTGCATGCGCCTCTACATAAGCCGATCGCTGTTGCTGTTGCTGACTACCATTAGACATCTTGTCCTTGTCAGTTGCCTATTAATTATTGTAATTAATTCCTTCTTTTTTTTTATAATACATTATACAGTGACAATTTGGAGAACAACTTGATGAAAAGTCGCGAGTTGAGACACGGAAAAATTCCTTGTTAAAGATTAAATTAAACCGGAAGATTTATTGGGAAATTTTGAACTTGAACTTCTCGGGAATTCGAGGTCATTATCACGACGTTTATCAATGTAGTTGGGCAACACGTTCGGATCACGGTCATGCGGATATCTCGGTCGAGCAAAAGTACCAGATTAACAAATTCGGCTCACGTTGAAACGATCACGTAAAACGTAAGATTATCTGAAAGCTTTAAAAAAAAAAAATGGGGGGGAATTCTAGTTAAATTCGTCGTAAACGAAAGATGAAAAATCTGTAAGAGCTAAATGTGAAATAATCGACTTTCGACAAACGTTACCTCGTTGTGTCTTACAAATATATTTGTAAAGATACAATTATCGACACGATACGACGAGTGTAAAATCTGCAGGAACAAGAACAGCAATTCGCGACGTTTCTATCAATTCGGGGACAAAAGCGTAGCGGCCTCGGGACCGATATGGGAAAACGATTAATCATGGGGACAGAGCTGAGCCGGAGAGCTCGCACCAAGGCGCACTCGGTGCCAAATATCTATTAACGATAATCGATATTTACCAGAAAATTCTTCGGTCTAAATGGAAATTATTCGATTTCTTGTGATCTGACGTAATTACGTCTCCGAGTAAGTAATCAAATTTCGTAGAAACAAAAAAAAAAACTGAAATGTCCTCATCACCGTTGGTGACGAGAATTCAACTCGGTTAATTTGTTTGAGTCTGACATAGAGATTTTGACAAAAAACATTTCCTCGAAGCTGATGAGAAAATCAGAGTGATCGTCCAGTTATTCGAAATAGTTCGGACCTGGCAATTCGCATATAACACAATAATTTCGAACATCGGTATAAAATACCGGTAGTCGAGAAAATAAACGAGGCGCTTAGAAAAATAGCAATATAAACTGGGAAACAGGCTGTCGAGAAATGGATATTTCGTCCACGTGACGGTGGTTCGGGACGCAGGCAGGTATCGGAGAATGAGCCGGTATCGCCGGGAAGCATCACAGAAGCCTGTATCCTCCGGAGGCGACATCGAATACATAAAAGACGGAGACTTTCGAAGGAACAGAAAAGATCTGTTCGCGTAGCCTGCTCCGTCAAGGTCCTCCGGGAAAGAACGATGACCGAAACGAGAGAGAGAGAGAGAGAGAGACAGGAAACGAGAGTGAGGGAAGAACGATCGGGAACGTCGAAAGAAGGGAAAGAAAGAAAGAGAGAAAGAAAGAGAAAGAGAGGCAGAGAGACAGAGAAAGAAGTTAGCTTACAGAAAGGCAGAGACACGAAAGGTTCCCACAAAAGACGAGCAAACGTTATCGGGGCCGATCTCCTGGCTCACGTACCTACGCACACTTTGTTCCTCCGCTGCAGAGGCCGAGGAAAACCGCACCGAGGTTCCCGATCGACTCACTGGGTCGGACGTCCTCGAGGAACGATATCACTGACACCGTCACAAGGCGAGCAACTCAAAACCACATCACATCAGCGTCCATCGCGCGTAGTCATGCCGGAGGTTTCCAAACTGGGTGAAAAAAAGGTCGAGCGACTACGAGGGCACGTCGTCGAGAACCGGCGAATGGCTGGTTCTGAGGCTGGAACGTTGGACCTGGAGCTTGTGCTCCGATAACGAAGAAGAAATCTGTCTAACGCGGCGACGACGACGACGACGACGATGGTGGACGACAAGAAAACGACGGGAAAAACTCCAACGGGAGACCACGCGCGTTCCTTCTTTTCGCGACGCCACGAAAGAATCTCGCGTTTTACGGGGCAACCGGAGTGTGTCCCGCGGAGCTAGCCGCCGATTCCCGGCGCGGGAGGATGCAAGGACAAAGAGACGAAAAAACGTCTGGTCGAAGCGGAGGGGGTAGCCCTCTGGCAGGAGAGAGGCAGACACACGGCGAGGGTAAGAAGAAGGAGAGAGAAAGAGAGAGAGCAACGACCAACTGGCCGGAGAAAGAACGAGCTATATCCAGAGGGAACGAGGGAAACGAAGACGGCTGATGAAAAAAACGGGGGAAAGAAAGAGGGAGAGAATGTGTGCGTTTGCGCGCGCGCGCGTATGTATGCGTGAGAGAGAGAGAGAGAGAGAGAGAGAGAGAGAGAGAGAGAGAGAGAGCCGGTGACACACGGATGCAGCGCGGCGTAACGATATCGAGTGGAGGTCCCCACGGAATGCACCGTGCAGAGAGCAAGACCACACAGGGTGGCACCGGTCGGACGGAGACGAAACGGGGGGGGAAAGAACGAATAGACGGCGATGAGAAAAATGGTACGGCGACACTCGAATTACAGAGTTCAAGTAAGCACGCGAACTCTTGGCGCGGACGATTCTGTTCGATCGACGAGACTATGAGACGCGTCCCGGTTAGCAGGCGAAATTGGCGCGACTAGGTGCAGGAACAAGCACCGAGCGATACTGAACCGGTAGGAGGGAAAGAAGAATAGGCACGGGAGAAGCGATATGCGGACGAGACGGCGCGGTGCAACGATATCGAGTGGAGATCCCCGCGGAATGCATCGTGGTCGGCGCGACGACGAGAACTCGAGAGGGAGAGAAACGGAACTGTAGACAGAGAAAGAGAAAGAGAAAGAGAGAGAGAGAGAGAGAGAGAGAGAGAGAGAGAGAGAGACGGAGAGAAAAAGAAGGGGAGATTCGGAGAGCGAGAAGAGAGAAAGAAAGAAGGAAGGGAGAGAAAGAGAGAGAGAAAGGTAGGGACGCCCTAGAGAGGCAAGTATGCGCGCGAAGAAACCTTCGTGTATACCTTGTGTCGTATACACAGTACACAGACTACCGAGTCACTCGCTTGCCGGATACACACAATGACGGAAGAGAGTAGCGTAGCAGCAGTCGACGGCGACGTCGTTGGCGGCGGCGGCGGCGGCGCTCTGCAGTGCGTCGGCCCGCTGACCTTGACACTGACATTGACTGAGCGAGCGATTGAAAGAGAGTGAGAGAGAGAGAGAAAGGCAGAGACAAATAGAAACTGACGGGGATGAGCAGGCAGAGAGATACTAAAGAAGCAACCTCATCATTGAACGGCATACACGCGCGATTAGGCGAAACCAGACGGCGACACGTAAAGGGCGAGCAGCCACCTAGTACGTAGTACGCCGGCACTGTACGCGTGCAAGTATCTCGCTCGCTTCCTCTCGTTTCCTTTGCTGCCTAGTTCTATCCTCGGTTGACCACATCAACGATCAACCGGGTAACGAGACTTCGTCGGCCGTTTACGACAGGGTATTCCAGACCTCGAAACAGGTTTTCAGAGGTGCAGAGGCCTGCTCCTCGTTGCACCTGTGCCCGGGACAAGGAGATCCAACGGGCCAACTAGCGGCGGGGAGGGGAGAGCGGACAATCTTGGATTGGGGAGCGACGAGACGCGTGGTGGAATAGAGACAGACGACGGCCGGAGAAAGAAGGACGGGAGAGAGGGGTAGAAAAGAAGACGATGGTAAAGGAGAAAAGGGAACGAACGGTGACGTTCTCTACCCGCGAACGTGAAAGAGGGAGAGAGGAAGAGGGAACTAGGCGAGACGTCGAAGAAAAGGAGAACTGACTTTCGCTTTCTGTGCGCGACGCAGCCTAGCCATGGAGCGTCGATCAATAGTGCCGCGACGGTTGCACACATACACACACATATACGTGATACGGGCGTACACACGCGTGCCTTTTACAACCCTCTATTCCCGACTGCTCGCGTGAGTGACTGTCTCTCTTTTGCCCTATCTGTTCATCCGTGTCTGCTTATCTGTATATTATCCCCTCCCAGCTGGCTACCCCGCACGAGAAGTCGCGTGTGTGAGGGTGGAATTATTGGGATCATGCTTCGTTGGCCGAGCAAGGGGTGCGTAAGTGCAACAGAGACGGAATCAAGGACCTCGAGCTACCGATCAGCGACGCCCCTCGTTCCCTCTCTCTTCTTTCACAAAGCCTGTTTGCACGGTTTCGCCATGGGATCCTCTCTCTCTCTCTCTCTCTCTCTCTTCGTGTGCGCGTCTCGTTCTCTTATCGAGCACGGTACGGGCGAAATTGGCACGGAACGAGAAGGTGGGACCGGAGAGACGACACGGGCCGACGTGGTAGAACGCGAGCGCGTGTCGCGTAAAGGACTTTTTACGCCGCTCGAAATGTGGAACTCGTGTCGGCCACCCATTCGACGCATAAAGTCACTTTAACGCGTCATGTCGGAAATTGCCGCGCCAGTTTACGAGCTTGTAAAGAGTCGCTGATACTTCCTAGAATACGTACAACCTCTGATGTACGGGGGAAGGAGGGGAAGGGAGGGATATAGCCCCGACTCCTCCTGGGCTATTCGTGTCCAGCTTACACAACGATAAATTTCCCAACGCTGCTCTGGAAAAGTTTTCGTTTTCTGTCTCTGTCTCTACCTGCCTCTCTTCCTCTCTCTCTCTCTCTCTCTCCCATCCCTCCTTTCCTCTCCCCCCTCCTTTTTTCCCTTCCTCTGTCTGTCTCTCTGTCTTCCTCTCGCTCGTTACCACCACGAGATACCAACATCAGCTTTACGCCAGACCTTTAATCCACCTTTATTAAGCGCGCTGTCTCCTCCATTTGTAAGGCACTTGCTCCCAGTCGTAAACCACGTGGCTCGAGCGAGGACCTTAAACGCATCTGATGTGTCTCGTGAAATCAATTGAAAGCAAATAAAACTGACGCTCCGTAAACGAGTATATACCTACGAGTTTCTCGTTTGTTGCTATATTTAGCGTCAACGATATAAATATACTTTTCGCCAGTCTTCTCGTGTTTAACGAGAATACAGACGTTCCATTCACACGAACGAAGGGGGCGTACTGCTTGAAAAGATGTATCTCATTGCCAGTTTGTAATTTCTCGAATAATTGGCGAACGTTTGTTTTCAGATGTATCGAGCGATAAGAATATATTTCAGTACGTTTGCTCAGCGTTGTAAATTTAAACGAAAAAATCAAAAGATAAATCATATGATTTACATAAAATTAAACGAGTTAAACCCTGTTTTATATCCTCTCCGTGTTGCATAATGAAAGGAAAATTTTATTTCTCATCCACGAATGATGAAGTGAAGACATTAACTGAAATATTTCGACTTACCTGGTTTACCGATGCGGCGAGGTGCTTCAAACTGTCGGCGTAATTTTTTAACACTGTATCCGTCGTCATACAGCTTACCCGAAACTCGTAAAACATGTCCAGTTTATATACGCATCTCTGGCAAATATTTTTGGGCAACGCGTCCTCTTTCGTTATCTGCAATAATATTGTCAATTAGTTAGTATTATTAACTGAGATCATTAACAGAGGTTACAATTTCTTCGACGAAAACTTATTAAACATAATCAGATGGATCAGACTATACAGAATTCTAAGAATCAATAATAATCTTAATTCGTTGAAAGTTTTCTGAATAACTTTAGTATGAACCATCTGAACTTAACTGTAAATATAAATATCGTAATGCAAAATATAAATATAAATTTTGGTTTCATCAAATCGACAGGCAGCCCACGTTGTAACTGTTCAAAATTTCTGCGAATTGTGAATTCAAAAACAGAATTATTATGACAGACCATTTGTGTAATAGAGTGTGACTCTCTTTTTTTTTTAGAGTTAGTGAAAATTCACATTTTTACCAAGCACTTCATTCAACATTTTCATGTAACATAAATTGTAAATTGGAGCACTGCGAAGCATATCGGAGCAGCTTTCCATCATTGCTTATTTCTAGTAACTTTTCCAACAAAGACTCGTATGCTCACGAGGGAAACAAATATTGGTTAAATATATCGATCAAAGACGATGAATATCGAAGGAATTCCACGAGTAGAATACACGACTTACCACAGCGGGAATGCAGGAACGTATTTTGAAAAGTAATTGCCTCTGTTCGCCTTCCTTGTCGAAAATCTGAAGCTGATGATTGCTCTTCAACGAGCAGAGCCTGCACAATTCGGCGAAATTGAAATCGTCGTTCATTGCCATTCTTACGGTTCACGATAAAACACACAGCTGCCGAAGGAATTGTTAGGTTATACTTGCTCCGGAACTTTATTCCCAGGCACTTTCTCGAGCTAGCGAGGACTAATGAGAACGTGGCATAGAACTGAGATTCGCGAACGTGTCTGAGAAACGGAAATTAACTAAATCTCTGACTGTTAAAAAACTAGAGGTTCCTAACAAAATTAAAGTAACGCCACCATTTCTCTCTTGCCGTTTCGCTGTTGTCCAGCGTGCAGAATGCCTGCCTCCACATTGCTCGATGCTAGACCATCTGCTGGGTGGTGGAGGTACGAACGAAGGGTTGCGCACGATGGTAAAACAGACCTGCAATTTTGTCAAAAAAGTACTAGTTCCAACAGTTGAAATTATTTGCTTCGTGATACTGTCATAAATTGCATGTAACGACGAACAATTAAGGACTAGGTTCTCTAGACAATATTCATATATAATTATATCATATTAAAATTAATAATGACATAATCGGTTGTAAATAAAGAGTAATATGAAGCAAGAAGGATTGCGCACGATGGTAAAACAGACCTGCAATTTTGTCAAAAATGTACAAGTTCCAACAGTTGAAATTATTTGCTTCGTGATATTGTCATAAATTGCATGTAACGACGAACAATTAAGGACTAGGTTCTCTAAATAATATTCACATATAATTATATCATATTAAAATTAATAATGATATAATCGGTCGTAAATAAAGAGTAACATGAAGGAAGAAGGATTGCGCACGATGGTAAAACAGACTTGCAATTTTGTTAAAAATGTTAAGTTTTAACAGTTGAAATTATTTGCTTCGTGATATTGTCATAAATTACATGTAACGACGTACATATATATGTATAATTATATGATATTAAAATTATGATATAATCGTTCGTAAATAAAGAGCAACATGAAACAAGAGTATCGATCTTAGATCTCAGCATGAGATACACAAATAATTAATCGTTTTATTTGCGTGCTATAACTGTACGAATATATTATTTATTAATAACGAAAGTTAGAAACGTTACAAAATCTCTAGTTTTTCAGTACGAAGCTTAAACACACGAGCGTTTTCCTAATATATTTTTCGAAATGATTTGATTTATACGAAAGTGAATAAAATATTATCTTAATACAGTCAGACTGGTGATTAAAATTATTTTAATATTAATTCAGACTAATAATTATAAAGGAAAAGTTCAGATTAATTTTGTAAAATGTGCGGTTATCGTGTATGTGCAATTCTGTGGATTGTTATTGGTATATACGTGGCTATATACACCCCATTCTTGTTTTTATTTAAGAACAAATTGACCATGGTGAGATATATTATAAAACTTGGTCTTTATTCCAAAAATAACTACTCCATTGATTCATATAAAGGAACAATTTCACAGAGCTTGCCGTTTACTAAAGGTTCACCAATATACAAAGCATGGATATCACCTATACATTTAACTTTTAAATGTTATCTTTTCAATGTTACAAATCCTGATGAAATAATGCAAGGAAGCAATCCAAATCTAGACGAAGTTGGTCCATTTGCTTACGAGTAAGTGAATGAAAGTATTTAAGTAATAAATGTTCGAACATTTAAGAATGCTTTCTTGAATCTTTTCTTTTTTTTAACATACATATTACGTTTAGTGAAATATTCGAGAAACAAATTATAAATGTAGACGACGAGAGGGATGAAATCGTATATACAACAAAATCTACGTACAGTTTTAATAAGCATTTAAGTTTGAACTTGTCTAAAAGTGACAAAGTTACTATATTAAATCCTGCATACATTGGTACCATATCGATGGCAAGTATAAATCGCACACGATGATGAGATAGTTGCACAACGCGTTTCTTAGATATCTTTCTTTTTAAATTATTTAATCATTCGTTTCATTCAAATCTTTTATTTCTCTGTGTTATTCGTAATTGTGAGCAAAATGTATAATATGAATTAATTATGTTTGAGTAGCTAGCTGGTTTACCTCCCGATTTTATGGAGAAATACGGTGATAACATACCGAAACTGTTTCCGAATCATAGTAGCATTTTTCTGAAAGCTAATCCCAACGATATACTTTTCAACGGAGTTAAAGTTTCGTGCAACTTAAGAAAATTCCCTGAATTGAATCTGGTGTGCAAAACGCTGAAGAACAATCAACCACCTGTGCTGAGAAAAACTGACAAGGAAGATTCTTATTTGCTCAGTATCTTTCAGAGGGTAAAAAATTGTTTGCAGAAACATACCACACACCTGTAACATTTTTTATTTTTATATAAATAACACGAATCTTTTCGTTTGACAGATAAACGATACTTTTCACGGGCCATTTTCTGTTAACAGAGGTCTGAAAAATATAACGAGACTCGGTGATATAACATCTTACATGGGGAAAAGAGTGCAAACAGTATGGAACTCTGAGAGTTGCAATACAGTAAAAGGAACTGACACAGTCACTTGGCCGCCATTAATAGAACCATTGCCTTTCATTTCAACCTTTATACATGAGTTATGCAGGTACTAAAAAATTTCACTCTCTTTTATCTCAATATAATAATAATACCATATTTTCAAAATACGGAATACAGAACTGTGGAAGTAGATTATGTAGGTGATGTTTCGGTACAAGGTTTAACTGGATCGCGATTCGTCATGAAGGAAAGAGTATGGTTTCTAAATACATCACAGTGTTATTGTTTAAAAGTGAACAACGTACCAAAATGTCTACCACAAGGCCTAATCGACGTGTCAGAATGTCAGGTAACATTGTAACGAAATAAATGTGTCTCCTTACGGTCTGAGATTCGATTATTTCACAGAAAATGCCGGTAATCTTGTCAGAGCCACACTTTTTACACGGCGACCCGCAACTCTTAAAATATGCAGGTGGTTTGAGCCCTAATGAAGAGGCGCATAGCACTTACGTCATTATCGAGCCATACACTGGAACACCTCTTTCTGGAGAAAAAAAGACACAATTGAATCTATATTTAGAAAGACAACCGGTAGAATTGCTTTCAAATGTCAGCGACGGCTATTTTCCACTTATGTGGTGCAGCAATGTAAGAAAATATTGAGACACATAATACATTATTGATCATGCAGGGTGATAAAATGAATGCTTATCTATTCCTGACCAAGGACTTCAATTTTATTACAACGAAACTAACTTAATTCAGCATGTTTTATTCATTTCCTTACACTTAAAAAAAAATCTAATCTTTTGTCGTCAAATTTTGACAAAACGGTCGAGTAGCGTTTTACAAACAAGCGTTAATTTACAATCTTTTGTTACAAATCGTATCAAAATGTATATCAAAGTATAATCACAACTTCTCTCAAATCATTTCAATAGACGAACTAATTGTCTAATAAATATTTTACAGGGAAATGCGCCGTCGTTAGCTGTTATAGGATTCACCTATCAGACAATTCGTCTACTAAATGTTTTGCGATATTTAAGTATAGTTCCTTTGATGATTGGAATTCATTTGACTTTCGTGGCACTGCTTTACTGCAGTTGCACAAAACGTAAAATAGGACCAACATTCGCAGAATCGTTATTAATATCGTCAAATTCACAATCGGATAATAACACGCAGAGACTCTTGCATGCATGAGCGTATACAAAAATCATTAGTAGTTTGACTTTTTCTAGAGTTTGACACTCTTCAGTATTGCTTTTGCAGGTAAATGTTTAAATATTTTTTATCAGTTCATTATAAAACGTTCGTATAACCAAAGATTTGTAATAATTTAGTAACTTGTATTCAATGATCGGTACACAAATGATTTAAAAAAAATGTATAATAGGTTTAACGTTATATACAGTGGCACTAAATTTACAATTTCTATCACTTCTACAAATTAATATAGTAATAGTCACTTTTTCATTTTTGTTAGACTTGATTAGTAATACCAATTGTAAATTATTTATTCAGACTTGTAGAAATAGGCAAGAAAATTTCTCTTTTATTTACACGAGCAAATGAATGACAGTTTATCACTCTGTTTTGTAGAAATTTACTATAATTTAAAATCCGGCCATCACTACATTAACGATAAGAACGCTAAATTGGTAAATTTGTATCAAAGCACATTATGTCAATTTTGCACAATTTGGGAAAAAATAAATTGCATCTTTAACTTTAATATTTACAGTATAATACGTATAATGCGTAATTCATTCATATATTCTTCCCAATTCTTTCCATTAATTATTATGCTTCGCGATTTCATAAAAATGCTTAAATTATTAAAACTCTCAAATACAAGGTTGAAATAAATATGTACACAATGTACACAAATACTCTTAAAAATAGATACGCTACAACAATGTGGCTTACGTTAATAATAACTGTGTTGCGATGATTGTACAAATATTCAACAATGTCTTAAAAGGAAAAAGAAAATAATTTTCTTACTAAAATATAACACACGTGCCATTCCACCGTGCACAAAAACGAACGTATTAGAAATAAATCTTATCTACTAAACTTTTTCATTTCGATTCTTTTTACAACTGTTTTGTAACGCGTTCACGTAAATAAAGGAAAACTCTAAATAATTGAGTAAACTCGGGCAGGTACAATATTGACCCGTGTATTTTAACCAGCCGTACTGACCCGAATTAACTCGGGATTTCTCGATTTATACAATTCACTTGAACTCTGAGATCGCTCGGCTTGATTGGAGACAAAGTGTGAAAAAGTCTTTCTCCCACGTACGTACGAATCGACTATTACTAGCGATACATTTGTATTATTTCCAAGATGGAGACCCACGAACCGAATACTAGCGCCAAAACAGAAAATATCACAAGCACAGAGTTCTTCCAGAGTCTCCACTTGTACCGGCCCAAGTGACCGTCCCAGCATGAAATCGTTTCGATGATTGCTGGGATTGTGACGCCGAGGATGGAGAAGAATATTGAGCCGACCAGCGATATGAAAGGGTCGAGGTTTGGAATTAGACACGCCACAGCAACTGAAAGAAACAGAAATTGTTTACAATAAAATTCTATCTAAAGTAGCTGTAAATTTTGAACATTCAATGTAATTTAAAGTAATTTAATTCGACGAATTGAAATTCAACGTACTCGATTTAGATTTCAAGTAAAGAGAGGATTCAAAATTATATTCAAAAAATTCGTACAAATTCAATAGACGATCGTTTTCAAATTGTTTGACAAGTTGTCGTTAAATAACATCACCGTCGGAGCAAGTTATACATCTTGTACTACAAAGTTGTCGAGTCGAAACATCAGCGACATAAATATCAAACTGAGAGCTAAATGAACGAGTCATTGAACGGTTAACAATGAGTCATGCTACAGAGTATTCGCTAGCTTAATCCACGGCTATCTCTTTCCAATGCAATTCACGTTTCTCTCTTGCTTCTTTGTGAAAGTAACACAGTATTGCTGGCACTGTATTTGTGATAAACCGGTAATAACCGGAAGAGCGATCACTAATCGCAGCCTGTTATCTGGGAAATATCAAAACGTGGCTAAATAGCGTTACTCGTGGCTTTAATAAGAGCGATTTATTGCGAAAACAAAACTTTACACGGGAACTGACGGCAATTATCTGTGACTAATTGTATCAGAGAGATGCATATTCAATCCGATATTGCGTACAGAGGCATTCGAGATTATCTTGTCAAACATGCTCTGCAAGTAAAAATAAGAGAAACAATACACCGCGTGAAATTATCAAGAAGTTTTCAACATTTCAGTGAATCGTTCGGAATATCGATCAGTTCCACAAATCGGAAAGTACAGAGAAATGTCATAAAAATTCATCTGAAAAACTGAAGCTTTTATAATTTAAACTGTTAGCTCTTTCACATTTTTCACATTTGTATAATACAAAGAATGATGCTAGCAATACATATATTTGAGATATAAAATATTAGATATCCGTAACAAAATCACCAAGTATATTGACTCTAGCGTCGCGAGGTCTGACACAGATCGGACAGTTTCTACTTACTTGCTCGTACAATGATATCACATGTCATAGACACGGTATTAAAAATTATAGTGATACGGACCAATTAAAAAAAATTTTATAATTTATATTACATTTCCAATCCAAACAATTTCCTCGGTTTACGAGTTGAAAAAACCAAAAGCAACTTACTTGTTAATAAAGCGATGCCTAGCCTCAATAATGTCTCAGCAATGTTTTGATACTTATAGCTGCATCTTTCCTTCACCACTCTCAAAATGATATCCAGCGGCACGAACAGTTGCAATCCGTAGGTAAACAACACCGCTAAAGCGACAAGCAGCTTCACTAGCTGTCCCGGACTGCAAAACAACAGAACGGTCTCGAAATTGATCTATTTTGAACGTGACATCTAAATTACGACAAAATTACTTACATTTCTTCCACCGGTATGTTCAGCGTGATACTCGCCCTGACCCCTTCCCCGTACTTCAAATAACCGAACACACCTATCACAGCGTACAAGGACACCACCACGCTCATCGATATGTTCAACACGCTCGGGCAACCGAGAAAGTGTTGCGGATTCTGCATGCTATTTTCTACAGGCATCACCTGAAGAAAAAGAATATTTCCTCGTCGTGATATTGCCATCGTGATCGAAGACGGAGAATTTTACTCTGCACTCGAGTACTTACGACACCGATGCCCTCGATGGCGAACAGGACAGTGGCGAAGAAATTAGGCCACTGGCCGACAGACGCCACCAGCTTCACGTCCTGCGGTATTTGAATCCCGTTGAAGACGTAATAAAGGATTATAACGAAGCCGATTATTATGGAGACGTTGGCTACCATGGAGAACGGCGCCATGTACTTCAAGCTTCGAATTTGTCCCAGCAACAAGACCGCGGGAACCAACGTAAGTATGTACAAGCGTATCGGTATGTCCACGCCGCTGTAGTAGTCGACTATCTGGAAATCAAATCGTGAAGGATTTCATAATTTGCAGTTTCTCGGTCGGAGTTTTCTTTTTTTTTTTTTTTTTGGCTCCTCGTCTCGTTCGATTCGGTTGAATCGGCCGATTTTGCTCACGGACAAGCAGGTTGAACGAGACACACAGAAACGAGTCTTGAGGCTACGCGCTGGCACAGATTTTCAATTGTGCTCGGGAGGGGGGAAAAAAAAAAAGAGAAACGAGGACGAAGGAAACGAGACGATCGCAGATTAGATTGGTTCTCGGAGTTTACAATTTTAAGGAGAATACAAATCTACGATGTATTTTAATTCCAACGTGAATCGCTTCAGAAACGTAAACGACGAAATTTCACGTTTAGTTTACAATTGTTGTTTGAAATAGAGATTGTTTGTTTTTTTTTTTTTTTTTCATTGACTCGTCAAAGCTGTGATCACAGTGATTATGGCAATTTATCGGGTTTTATCTAAATAGATAAAATTGTCTACGCTCGGTCGCGAATTTTCGCTCATCGGTTTAAATTGCGGATTACGGGTGTTATCTTTTACGGTGAAATATTATCAATGTACTCAAATTAACTGTTTCATTTTTGATATACGATTCGTTAATGCCGCAATATTACTAAATACTCGAATTAAGTGTTTCATTTTTGATATACGATTCGTTAATGCCGTAATATTACCAAATACTCGAATTAAGTGTTTCATTTTTGATATACGATTCGTTAATGCCGTAATATTACTAAATACTCGAATTAAGTGTTTCATTTTTGATATACAATTCGTTAATGCCGATATTTCTCGTGTGCATATATCGAAAATTCTTCGCAAGATCAACAAATTTGATTTTTATTAATTCATATCGATTGATACTTTGAGTGTCGCTTCTTTCAATTCTGGGTGACGCACAGCTTACTTTTTTGTTCACTCAAGTAGGAACAATTTTCACACTTGTTTGTAAACATATTGAATTTAAAAAGATGAAGTCTTATTTCGTATATTTAATTTATTCAACGAAATATGAATACGAGAATTATAAATGCAAATGTTTGGCGCTTAAAAAAGTGATAAATGGAATATATATATATACAGCTTAATATTCTATTATTTTCATTATTATTTATTTATTTCATTACATTTTGTAATTTACAAATTAAGATTTCAAAACGCGTTTACAAACAAGTGCAAAAATTGTTCCTATTTGAGTGAATCGAAAGATCGTTTGATCCTTTGATCGTTTCATCATTCAATCTGTTTGATCTCAAAATGAGAGATGGTAAGTTGAGAGAATTTTTGTTGAACAACCAATCATTTCAAACACGAAAAAGCACTCATATTTGATCAAACATTTCAATCTTTGGAGATATCTGATTTCAAAACGAGAGATAAGCTGCGAGTCTCCCAGAATCGGCACTCAAAGTGCTAAATTAGTCCATAGTTCAATCACGGTGAATTTTTGTTAAACAACTAATCACGTCGAACATGGAAAATCACAGGCACTCGTGATTTTAATCATCTAATTACAAAATGAAAATTACTCCACGGTAGAACGGAGAATTTTTATTGAACAAATAACACGGGAAACTACAAGACCAAGCTAGAGAACTTTGAAGAGAGGATATCAAAGTTGTTGCTAATAATTGGTGGAATAGTACTCACCTGTTTAATCGAGGTCGCCACGAATACCACGTAGACGCACGAGCCGCCCCCGTGAGTCGCAGCCAGTGCAGCATTTACGAACCTTCGACTCGCGTTGCTGAAGGGCCTCAACGTTTTCGGGCCGTTGAGGAACGCAGCCTCCGCCGTCTCGGCGTACGTCATCTGCGGCGTTTTCGTTTTCCTGCATAGCACGTGCGACGAACGAACCAGTACGTGAACGCAATGCGCGCATACTAAACCAATTATTATCGTACCGATTCCACCGAACAGCACCCCGCCGTTCTTAATCGCGTTCGGCATGGCTAGGATCCCGGTACCAAGCGACGATTTCAGCAAGTTAGCCAGAGCGCCGAAATCTCTGCAACGTGAAACACAATTTTCGCGTGAACTTTCCACGATGTTGTAATTTCCTTGTAATAGAAAAAAAACTTCGTTTCTCAGACGAATCATTTTTATCCAAATTTAATTCACTTAAATTTCACCTGAAACTAATAAATCTGATATATTCGATTATTTTTGTGTACAACAAAATTGATAAAAAGTTCCCGTATAATTTAACGAAAATTAAACGGGGAAATTAAAATTAATAATGATAAATTACAGTGCCAGCAATAGTTAAACTTATGTCATAAGTTAATAATTTATAAACTTTATTGCGATAAAAATAATTGTTATATTAAAGTTATTAATTTTAAGTGAAATTTAAATGTAAATATTTACGTGTCCCTATGGTCAGGTCGAGATTTGAAAAATTTGGAAATTTCGGAAATCTGGTCAGTACTTGTCGTGATCTAGAAAAGAAGATAGCTTACGAGTTGCTGTTCTTCTTGTCACGGTGTTCGAAGGGATTGTACAGTTCGTTCTTCTCGTTGAATTCTTCAATTGCGACGCTGGCTATTTTCGTACTGGCGACAGAAAAAGAGATGATACGTCATTGCATCGCATTCGCTATCTTCTCGCTTCAATTTGTTTATTTATTTGTCAGTATCAACATTCGTTTTCAATAATTCAGAGATCGATGTTTTTTTTTTAATATATTTACAAAACAACTGTATCGTTCTAATTGAAATTAAATCAATTAATTTAACGATCATGCACGATTCAATTCTTCTTCAATCATTCGTCTGTGTCAAAACAACATGTCATATCGTGCTGCATTGACACGAACGGCGTGTAATCAAATAATTTGTCGACTCTGTGTTTGTTGATTTTCTATCTAGCACCGAGATAAATTCAGTTTGATATCGTACGTTTAAACGTCGTTAATGAAATTGCAAATGAAATGTGAATTTGGTAATCCGCACCTGCTGTTAAACTCCTGCATAGGATTTCCGGCGTATTCTTCTTTCGTATTTTTCTCCATGGTGTGTCTGAAACAGTGTCAACACATGTAAACGTCGTCGTACAATTTTTAAACAAATGTATAATTTAATTTAAAAGAATCAGGTTTGTATATATTTATACAGTTTATATATTATTAAAATTTAATTGTTTACAGGTATATTAACGTTAAGAACATCAAAATTTCTTACGCGCAATGCTACTTTCGATTTAAAACTATATTAGAACGTAGCGTTTTGATTTATCCACGCTCCTTGTCATACTTATTGCAATTAAAGAGCGAAATTTTCGAAACCGCTTGCTGGAATTGCAGTTGCAGTTAATTTTCGATTTCTTATCGATCGATTCGTTACAGTAACTCTAGCGAGTAGTTCTAGAATTGCGAGTGAACCTTCTTCAGGTGAGATATCTAGCTACTGACGATTAAAATCAACTGGCTTTCACGTGACGCCGCGAATAGCAACGTCAATAACGATGACAATTTTCGCGACAATGTCACGCTTGATTATCATCGATAACAGCACGATGTTTGGAAACAACTTCATTTTTAAGATTGCCCTCACGCCTTATGTAAGGATCACGAGCACGGCACTAATGGTAACGATCGTCGAAGGTCTTACTTTTATCGGTAAAAATTTTCCACGCGGATGCGAGATGCCACTTTGTCACTTATCGTCTAGACTGCTTACGATCGTTTACGAATTTTCGCCTGCATGTTCTCCGATTCGATCGATTTATCGATCTAGTTATCGAGCCGATCGTTATTACACGAGGAGCACAAAATGGAAGGCACAGCGATGGTGTTTTAAAATATGACACTCCTTCCTGACATTTTAACCAGAGAATCGAACGAAAAGATGAAGAGCAGGTCAAATGCTGAATAAAACGAAATTTTATGGTTTTGAAATAACGTCAAACTATTCTGCAAATTTCGATATCGACAGTTGCTATTTAAAATGTGCACTTAAGCGCGATAACAGTCGACAAAACCACGAACAATGCGAACGAGTGCCTGTTTTTCCCCTTATATTGTATTGTTGTATTATTTTATCGTTGTGTTATTATTATCGTCGTATTGTGTTATTTTATCGTTGTATTTTATTGTACCATTGTGTTATTTTATCGTTACTAAAATGTTTGCGAATAGGTGACGAACATCTGTCTGTGTGAAAAAGATAAATCATGTTACGTACGTTGCGTAACACTCGATATGTATGCAACGTTTGACTCAATCGCTCGATAAAAAAATAAAGCTTGATATCACCGTTCGTCTCGGGAAAAGAATTTAGTGGAAAAAATTGCAATATCTGTATTACGCAAGGTCGAGAACTGAATTATTATCTTCGATGTTCGAACGAGACGAAGAAGCAAGAAAGATTTTCGAAAGGAACGATTGTTGATTGAGAAGTCGAGGGAAAAGCAATAAAGGAACAATAATTGTTTCATTTTTATTTGTTTGTCTCGTGAATCGTTACGATAATTAGTTTCGTTCTAAGTTATATATATTTAGAATTATAAAATTATACTTTTTTTCTTTATTATAACGTATAAATAAAAAGGTATATCGTTAAAAAGAATTAAAAGTGATCACAGTGCGTTGTAAACAATCAGAAATATGTCTATGGATTATAACGAAAAATGTTGCAAATTGCAAAATCAATAAAGATTTTCGAAAGAAACGATTGTTGATTGAGAAGTCGAGGGAAAAGCAATAAAAGAACAATAATTGTTTCATTTTTATTTGTTTGTCTCGTGAATCGTCACGATAATTAGTTTCGTTCTAAATTATATATATTTAGAATTAAAAAATTATACATTTTTCTTTATTATAACGTATAAATGAAAAGGTATATCGTTAAAAAGAATTAAAAGTGATCACAGTATATTGTAAATAATCAGAAATATGTCTATGGATTATAATAACGAAAGATGTTGCAAATTGCAAATCAATAAAAAGACGATAGAACGAGATTCGTTTGTTCGATTATTTTCCCCCATGATAATGACACGATTCGTTAAAAACTCGCAAGATCGAGGTGACTGCATCGTTAAAAAGAATTAAAAGTGATCACGGTATGTTGCAAATAATCAGAAATATGTCTATGGATTATAATAACGAATGATGTTGCAAATTGGAAAATCAATAGGAAGACAACTGAACGAGATTCGTTTGTTCGATGTACTTTCCCCCATGATAATGACGCGATTCGTTAAAAACTCACAAGATCGAGGTGACTGCATCGTTAAGCAATCGGTCGATCCTACATACTGCAATTATATCGTCGAGCGGCTAAGACACATCCTTGAACGCTTTCATGCGTGTATGCACATACATACGGGTGTTCGTGGGATCTTCTAACATGAGCAAGCGCTTGGGAAAGGCTCACAATGCTAAGCTAATAAATATTCCGAGTGTGAGCAAGAAACAGAAAGGAGTCACGAATAACCACGAGGTTCGAGCACAGAAATTATGCTTGAATATCGTACGTATGTATGCACGTGTACGTATAGAGATCGACGAGCAGTCCGTGGTTGAATCCACGGTGATCTAGGATCTTTGCTTGGTAATGCCGATATCTCAGGATAATGTGTTCAGGAGTCGTTCGCGCGAATTCACGCGAGCGTGATTTAGCGAAAAGGTCACGTTAGAACTGATTTCCTTTTGTCGTCCAGCGTTGCACAACGCGCCATTATTGCATCTGGGACCTGCTCCACTTCGTTGCGAAAGTACTTTCGGTTGTGCATTTGGTATTACGTCACGCCGTTGCTTTGTTACTTGATCTCGCGAAATTTTTCTGAAACATTCCTCCGCCCTGCAGATAATGCCGAGAAAAATTCCATTTGCCATTTTCTTGGACAGACACATGTGCTCCGCATGTTCTTCGATTCGATCGATTTATCGATCTAGTTATCGTTATTACACGAGGAGCATAAAGTGGAAGGGCACAGCGAATCACGTGTTTTCACGTGTTTTAAAGTATATAACACTCCTTCGGGATATTTAACCAGAGAATCGAACGAAAAGATGAAGGGTAGGTCGAACGCTGATAATAATAAAACGAAATTCCATGGTTTTGAAATAATTTCAAAACTATTCTGCAAATTGCAAATTGCGATATCTCAGTTGCAATATCGACAGCTGCTATTTAAAATGTAAGAAATGAAAAATATAAAAGAAACTTTTCTGAAACATTCCTCCGCCCTGCAGATAATGCCGAGAAAAATTCCATTTGCCATTTTCCTGGAGAGACACATGTTCTTCGATTCGATCGATTTATCGATCTAGTTATTGAGTCAGTCGTTATTACACGAGGAGCATAAAGTGGAAGGCATAGCGAATCACGTGTTTTCACGTGTTTTAAAGTATATAACACTCCTTCGGAATATTTAACCAGAGAATCGAACGAAAAGATGAAGGGTAGGTCGAACGCTGATAATAATGAAACGAAATTCCATGGTTTTGAAATAATTTCAAAACTATTCTGCAGAATTGCAAATTGCGATATCTCAGTTGCAATATCGACAGCTGCTATTTAAAATGTAAGAAATGAAGAATATAAAAGAAACTTTTCTGAAACATTCCTCCGCCCTGCAGATAATGCCGAGAAAAATTCCATTTGCCATTTTCCTGGAGAGACACGTGATGGTTCACGGTCCGTACGAGAGGAGAAAAGATTAATCGTCGCGTGCAGATGTATGACAATTGTGCAAATCTCAATTATCCCCGGATAAGCGAAATCGTTTCCTATATATTTCCACCTGTTAAAACCACATTCCACGATAAAACTGCGTCTGAACATTTAGCACGAAAGCATGCAACGATCGTTGACTTCCGGTACACGCGGCGGACACGCGACTCGTATCCTCGCGTACTGGCTCGTATAAACTTTTTATAGTTCATTGTTGCTACATTGCGAAATTGTTATCTTATTGTTCTCACTCGCTACTCGCTGAAATCCTCTTTCACTCTGTGATACGAAAGATATCGTGGAATGAAAGAAGCTCGTTCGAGATATCGCTTTCAATTTTCCAATAGATAATCTCCGAAATTAATCTTTGCCCGTGCGAAGAAAAAAATGTAATAATTATTACACGTTATTGAGAATCAAGAATTATTGTATTATTATATATTAATTATTATTGTATTAATATATTATTACATATTAATTATTATTATGTTAATATATTACTATATATTAATAATTATTCTATTAATATATTACTATGTTAATCTATTATTGCATATTAATTATTATTATGTTAATATGTTATTATATATTAATTATTATTATATTAATATATTACTATATATTAATAATTAATATATTAATATATTACTATGTATTAATTATTATTATTATATTAAGAACTGTTGTCGAGAATTAAGAATTATTATACGCAAGTTATGTCTGTTTCGATTCCTTTCCTTCCTAAAAACCGCCAAGCATGTACACGCAGGTGTATGAAACGGCACACATATCAAAACAGTCGCGAGACTTGCTAAAAAGAAGTTAATTCCACATGTTTTGAACGAGTTGTTGAAGTCTATATCAAAACAAACCTGTTTTTGGCGAGAATTGTATTCATGCGAAAAGTGATGCACCGTAATGCAATGCACGAACAAGTTCTAAACGTGTTTACTATTTTTTTTTATCGACAATTATGCAAAATAAATACTGCACTGGTAAACACGGTTTTTATTAAATACCGGGAAATTACTCGATTTTCCCGGACGCGCTGGTCGAACAATTCGCAGCTTAAGAAAATTGCAGTTGCAATTTTCCATTGAATTGTACAGGAAACTCGTTAACGTAGAGATTTCCGTTACGGTAATAGCCTTTGACTGTAGTGAAAAATAAATATTTCCTACGATGTAAATCTTCTTGAACGACAGGTTACAGAGCAAGAGATAAAAAAAAAAAAAAAGAAGAAGAAGAAGAGAGAGATACTCTGATTCTTACGTAATAATAGGTAATTTAGTAATTTAGCAAAGTAAATAATTAAAATTAAGCGCAATATAATGTTCTTTAATTGCCCAGCGTATATACGGTACGGAAATATTATTTTGCGACCATTAAATGTTTAAAAGTCAAAAAATTCCATAATTCTATTGTAAAATATTTCAGCACTTCCTGCGATAAGTTCCTGAATTGTAAATCGCTGATTATCATTCGGTTATTTGAATTTCAACATAGAAATATTGATGCCGATAGCAAAAGGAAAATTAATATTTATACTATATTTAAAAACGATAAAAATAATTGTACGTTTTAAAGATTCTTTAACATAAGAAGGTCAATGCGCATGTAATTTTATTCTAAATTTTAAACTTCGGAATAATTGTAACGTGGACTTTGGAAAGTTGTAAATTTTTTGTTCAAGTTCAGACAAAAAAGGAGAAACACTTCAGAACGTACTTTCGTGGTTACATGTTGCAACGTTTACGTAACGTGAATTCATGACAAAAAAAAAAAAAAGAATTATTTCCTTTTAAAGTTACGTCTCCGGATAGATTGATCAAAAATTTTTACTCAACAAAACTGAGAGTAAATCAGAGATCGATCTGAGAATTATAGTCAATACACGCTCGTTATAAAGTCTATAAATAAAAACATCTCTTGATGGATCTGAAAATCATCCGAACACGAGACGCTGAACCGATCTTTCGTCGAGCATCTTCGATCTATGAAAAGTACAACTCTCGATCGAAGCTCACCGAGGCGTGATAATTATCAACAATCGTTCCCGATAATCGCGAAAGCGATTGGCGTGGATCGTTGAAAGAACCGATTCGTTGCGCAACTATCAACTATCAACCGGTTACGGTCGTTCGAGTTCCAAACCTGAATTTTTACGCACTTTAAGCGCAACGAATATATATTACGATTCGCGTAAATGTACTCACGTGTATCTCAATTCCAGGCTTCCAGTCGGAAAAATGAAAAACAGAGACAAACTGTCGGCGACTCGTGGTTTTCACCGTCGAGAGGATAGAGAGGTTCGATCTATGAGCAACTTGCAGTTAATCTCACATCCTCTTCCGATTCGGCCCTCTTTAAAAACTTCGATGAATATTTCGAGTCTCTTCCCCTATCTTATTTACCTTTTTTACAAACACTGGCAATCTCGCTGGAGATAACAATTTATTGGCGACTGTCACACGGTACGATTTATCGATCCATTAGCACAATATAATAGATCGGCGGATGATCTTCGGTACACGTAGATCCGCTTCTGTTTCCACTCTCTTTCTTATTCTTTGTCGGTTGAATTTCTCGAATTTTTGTTATCACTTTGCCGAGTGATTCGAGAGCAAGATTCAAAAAGATCGAACTCCTCGAATCGACGAATACTCAATCGTACTTACTCTTCGCCAACGATCCGTAATGTCATATCTTTTCGTTTCCTAATCCCCGATATCTAAATGCAGATTTGCAATTTTCTTCTAGCAATTTTCTTCCACCAAAGAACCTTTCTTTCGAAAGGAGAAGAAAGCAAGGGCTGGAGAGGTTCGGAGGGAAAATTATGTTGCGCGGGAAAGAAAATCGCGGCGCGTGTAGCGTGGTGACAGGCGTCGTGCGCGACTGGCCAAGTTTTTTCGGCGTTAGCCAGGTATATATGCTTGGCGAGCCGGTGTGCGTGCGAGTTCAGCTGGCTAGAATCGACGTAGCTCGACACTGTCGCGAGAGGGGAGACCAGAGGCCGTCCTCCTAATAAGTTCTATCGGACGTGTTCAAAGACAGACGGGACGATCGCGAGCTGGTGAACCTCGGTACACAACCGAGAAGTCGTCCTTTGGCATCGCGAGGCCACTGGGGGGCCGCGAATCGGCTGCTGCACCAACCGATCTCTTCCCTTTCACCTCCTCCGTCTCCTTCCGTTTCACCATAGCTTCCTCTTTCCCTCCAATCCCTTTCATCCATCTACCCTCTCCAATCTTCAACGCCGATCTCTTTCAACTCTTTTCTCTCCCCTGCGACTGGCCGCGATATCTTCTCTCTCTCTCTCTCCTCTTCGCCTCGCGATTTCGAGCATTGCGTAAGCGGCGGAAACTTGGATGAATCATAGTTGGTGTGAAGTACACCGTGCACCGAAGTGTCAAAGACACTTGGTTTATCGGGAGAGAGTACAGGGTGTCTGTAAAGTCTCTTTACAATGTTGAAAATTTGTTACAATGGAGAATGAAAAGACGGATGAGTGGAGATTGTTACAAAATCAGACGTGTATATTTAAGTTTTTTTCTTTTCTTTTCTTTCTCTGACTCATTTGATACGCCGTTAGTTGCACGATAAACGTCAAAACGATACTCGATTCCTTGGTCGTCCCTCGGATGTTCTTGGTCGTCCCTTTATCGAATACTGTCCCTGTCTCCATAAATTTCTTGTCCCATGCACGAACTGACGGACGTCCATACGCAGTTTCGAAGTTTCGCTGAGTTTTCAGATCCGATTTGGTTTCAATAAACCATGATACACGCTGTGCCTTCTCTTGAGGTGTCATTTTGTAAGAAGTTCATTTAACAGTATCTTATTCATCAACAAGGTACCTGAAATGCAATGTGATAAAAACCTTGATAACTACTGAGTATATAAAACAAATCTGATGAAGATATCTCGTCAATTGCCTTTGTGATAAATTTTTTGAAATAGTAAAGAGAGTTGGACACCCATGTGGAGTTATGTTAAAGATATCGTGTATCGAACAAAGGTACTGGACAACATTAATCTAAAGCAGAGAATCACTGATGCCATTGATAAAGATATGCTGCTGTCTTGATGTGCTTCGTGCAACCAATGATGCATAGAGGTATGCAACTAATGGTATATAGAAGTATATTAAATGAGACAGAAAAAATACTTAAATATATACGTCTCATTTTGCAATAATTTCCACTTATCTGTCTTTTCATTTGCCTCTGTAATAAATTTTTGAAATTGTAAAGAGACTTTGTGGACATCCTGTATTTCGTCAGAATTAAAAAATCAATATGGCGAATAATTTTTAAAATTTTTAAGGCCACCGCGCGGCTTCAATTTCGCCTTCGATAACGTATTATTCTTGCAATTATATCGACGCGACAAATTGAATTTGTTTCGTTTCTACACATTTTGTGAACTTTCAACGAGGATTCCCCGATTATTTTTATGAGTCACGTTATATTTTCTTCTTTTTCTCTAAGCAATCCCGACCACGTATATTTATGCGCATGTATTTACTTTCTGTTCAGTGGGAATACCAAGAATCTCGCATGTTTCGAAGGTTCCGAGCGATTAAGCTCTGTTTTGTCGCTTTTGCACGTGCGGCGTTCGAAACTCGAATTAACAATTAAAACTAATGAGATGGGCAAGCAGTTGTGTGTGTGTGTGTGTGTGTGTTTTCACAACGATGACTCGATCCAGATGGCATTGGTTCCTCTCTACTGTCCAAGATACGTTAAAGTACAATCAATAATTTGGAATGTTGAAAAAAAAATTAGAGCAAATTCATTTAAAAATGACTGCAGCATATTTTTAAGATCGTGCACTTTTTGACTGTTGAATGTTGAAATGTTGAAAAACAAATTGGAGCAAATACATTTAAAAATGACTGCAGCACATTTTTAAGATTGTGCACTTTCTGACTGTTGAGTGTTGGAATGTTGAAAAACAAATTGGAGCAAATACATTTAAAAATGACTGCAGCATATTTTTAAGATTGTGCACTTTTTGAACGTTGAATGTTGGAATGTTGAAAAACAAATTGGAGCAAATACATTTAAAAATGACTGCAGCATATTTTTAAGATTGTGCACTTTTACGACGCGTGCAATTTACACGAAATAATGTCGCACTCTGTTATTCAGATTAAAAAAAAGAGAGAGAAAAACGAAACTAATGTCTCTTCGTTTCTAAATAAATTTTCAGAAATTGTGCGTTAAATCACTCCAACGTGTTTGTTAAGTTTCTGCAGAGTTATCATTTAACAACTGTTCAAGAATTCCTCTGTTTATCTGAAAATTAGACTCCGGTTCCTTCTCGAGTAAACCATAATTATCGTCGTAATTATTTTCAAAGTGTAAAGCAGCTTTTGTTATTAGGGAAGATCTCTGAAAGATATCGACTCGTAAAAAAAAAAAAAAAAAAAAAAAAAACATGCGACGAACAACTCGAGTAAAGTTTGTCGAACCACCCACCCAGTCATCTCTTCCCCCTAAACGTATTTACAGTCTTCTGTTTCGCTGAAAATCAAAAATGTCAATGAGAATCTTGATGGACCACGTCGAGTATTCCAAAGTGATGCTGCACTCTTGCTAAAAGCCAGTACTTCAAGATTCCCAGAGTGCTTTAAATCCGAAATGGCAAGATTTTCGTGCGTTCCAATAAAGAAGAAAAAAAGAAAAAAAAAAAAATTCAAAATGGAAAACCACGCCAAAGTTATTTTTTTTTTTTTTTTTTTCTTTCAATAAGAGAACGTTAATGGACAAAACTGAAGGATCAACGAGTGGTCCTCTTGACCGAGAACACGGTCATCTTTAATAAAGACGATTAGCACGAGCACACCGGTAATTGTCTGCATAAATATTCAGCTCTAGACACTTTGCATATTAAGTTATTCATATTCGCCTCCATATGTCACACAAACTGCGATTTATATATATAATAGCCGAACGTATCGATGGATATTGTTGATTAGGCAGGTTTTTCTTGGCGTCGAAACATTTACGTAAGAGCTGCTGGTATTTCCTGGAATTAAAACATCATGATTTTATTTGATGATGCTGTCAAGGCTGCAACTACGCGGACAGTCGGCTTCCATCTGATTTCTACAAAGAATAGAATCACGAAGAGGAACAGGAGATAGAGCAAGACTTTATTTATCATACATACACAGCAGCTTTCTGCAAGAATACAAAACGCAGGTTCTGGACTCGTTTCAAGTGTTCTGCAACTGATGAGCAAACTGGTTTCCATTTTCACTGATTAACTGGTCGGACAATCAGCATCCTTTCTCTTTCACGTCACCGTATTCTCTGACGATGGACAATACGCTCTCGATCGATCCAGATATCTGACGTTAAATGAAAAAAAGTGTTTCGTTTTCTCTTCCATTGACTTACAATTGTTAGAAAAATATTTCTCCTCCTTCCAACGAAAAGAAAGATTTCTATTTCAATCGTGCCTGTATCCAGCGCATTCCAAGTGATAAAAAGTTCTATTATACAGAAAGTTGTTATCTGTATTTTGCTCTTGTTATCTCTTCAGAGTGTTTTGCTATAAAACTTCACGTTATTGATATCTTGTAATTGCTACTTACAAACGATATATATCGTGTTACGAGATTAATTTTGAAATTGTCGAGACCCTCGCAGCTTTGAGTGCTCGTGAATTAAAAGAACAAAGACTAAATAAAGATTCTCTTATAAATGCTGTAATCAAATTTCCCATTAATAAATAAATAAGTTTTTCATTGACACCTAAATATCCTAATAATAATAATTTCATTTAATAATAATTAACTTGTAATATAGTATAACAAGTCTAATGATAAATAATTTTACAATTATCACTTTAGCATAACTTTGTTTATTATTGTCCTGCTAATATCGTTTATTTGCAACGTTAAACGTCCCGAATGGGAACGTTTTTCAATTCTAATAAATGTCTGAATCTGAAAATTAATTAAAATGATAAATAATTTTACAATTATCACTTTAGCATAACTTTGTTTATTATTGTCCTGCTAATATCGTTTATTTGCAACGTTAAACGTCCCGAATGGGAACGTTTTTCAATTCTAATAAATGTCTGAATCTGAAAATTAATTAAAATGATAAATAATTTTACAATTATCACTTTAGCATAACTTTGTTTATTATTGTCCTGCTAATATCGTTTATTTGCAACGTTAAACGTCCCGAATGGGAACGTTTTTCAATTCTAATAAATGTCTGAATCTGAAAATTAATTAAAATGACAAATAATTTTACAATTATCACTTTGTTTATTATTGTCCTGCTAATATCGTTTATTTGCAACGTTAAACGTCCCGAATGGGAACGTTTTTCAATTCCAATAAATGTCTGAATCTGAAAATTCCGGATGTGATAAATCGCATAAATTTCTCAAAAAAAAAAATTATGTAGAAAATTAACACTTTGCTTTCAACACTTACCAACAATAGTACCCAGACGAGAAAGATGCTGATATTCTTGGCGAAAAGAAACCGCGTCGCCTGCTCCCATTTCGTCGCTGTCTCTATCACTATAGGGATCAGCAGCATGATGGTGGTCATGCTCAACGCCGCGAGAAGGCTGAGCAGGGGGACCATTTTTGGTACCGCGATTGCCAGTGTTGCTGCGAATGTTTTTACTCGTCAATTCGAGCGATGTTAAACGTAGTTCTTCGACTAAAGAGAAAATAGAGAATCACTTACTCGCCGCGATCATCACGCTTGAACGAAACATGGTTTCACCGTAACGAATGGTACCGCGAAATTTCGACTGGATCATCGGCCACAATACTGCGACCGGCACGTACAAAACCAATCCAAACGAGAACAAGACAGACAAAGCGATCGCTATTTTAATCGATTTCGCGAGTCTGAAATAATAACAACAAGGTCTTTCTTTTTTCACTTATAAATACGAACGTCGTTGCGTCAAATAACAAATAGGCATGAACAAAGTGTTACAAGAGGAATAAAAAATTCATAGATCCGATCTCGAGGGTTTCTTCCATTCTCGCTAAAGATAGACTAAATTAATGTAGTCGCAATCGGAATGTGACGAGCGTCTATAATCTGTCATCGGGCAACGTTGAAAAAAAAACCAGGAGAATGGAAATTATTTATTCATACATTCCGTCTCTATTCTTCTGTCCTCGAGCTGAAACGTCTTCGCAACGGGGAATCTTTACTCGCGAAACAGATATCACGGTTTGATCGATCGTCGTTTTCAACTACGTAAAATTAACGAACAAAGTAAGATGGACATAATCCAGAGGCAATTGCAATTGATCGATGGATATTTAACGCCAGTCGCTAGTGTTAAGAATCATCGTCGATCGAGACAACTAAATCTTCCGCGAAGAAAGAAATGACCAAAAATGATGATCGAGACATACTTGCATGTATGTATGTATGTATGTATATATGTACGTGTATCACATGCGCAGAAAACATTGTCGAGCTTATCTCGAGTGCTCGAATTCCAACTGATGCGAAAAATTCGTCGCTGATAATCGCTCTGTGAGCAATGATAGAAGAATAGATTATTTCCTATCGAATGTAGCAGTGAAAAGTGTTCGATGGAATATAGTGCACGTAGTGAGTGTGTGTGTGTGTGTATATGCGTGTGTGTGTGTGTAAATCAACGAAATCAAGGAATTTAGATAAAGAAGTTTGCACGATAAGAATACCACGGAATACGTGCAAATACTGAGATTCTCCGTGCATGCACGATTTTCTCGTCCACACGACGAGCAAGACGATCCGAATTTTTCATTCGTGTTTCAAGATTAACAATAAGTGAACGAAGCTTCGAAGCTACTCGAGGCTTTAGGGGAATTTTCACTTGCGATAATTATATAGAAAAACGATTACTGCTACCGTTATCGTCGTCGTCCTTGCGAAAAGAAATAGCGTGTTTGTAGAATTGCGCGTCAATTTTAAACGCAAATTGCGGATTGATGGTTAGAAAAAAAAAAAAGTTACGAAACATCGTGGAGTACTTAATGTATTCGAATATATTCGATCTTTCAACGTCAATGTTCGAGGTATCGTAGAGAATGTTGAAAATCTTGCTCGGGGATTGCTCAGATTAGACATTCAACGTAATTGACGATTTAAATGCTCGGTTGTTGAAATTAACTCTTTGAACTCGATTTATTTCCAATGTTATTTTAAAGTAAATTAGGTAAATTAATGTGTTTAATAATTAATAAGTAAATCAGGTAAATTAATGTATTTAATAATAATAATAATAATAATAATAATAACAAAAATTTGGAAATTGCTACAAAAATTATTACACTTTAAAATGTCATAAAAAATAAATTTTATAATAATAATAATAGTTATTATTATTATTATATAATTTATTTTTTATGACATTTTAGAATGTAATAATTTTTGTAACAATTTCCAAATTTTTGTTGTTACCTCCAGCGTAATGTTATTGGAAATATTTACAGCAAATTTAAAAACATTGAAAAATTAGAAGAATTTTTAAATATAACATTATTCGTTGTTCAACAAAAGTAGAAATCAAAACTTGTATTTGTGAAAGGTAAATACAAGTTGAATTAACTTTGAATTTGCTGAAAACTTTAAAGACCCTTTCACAAAATTTGCGACTTGACAACTTATCCTTACTTACTCTGTAATTTAATGAATGATAAGAATTCGGAACGATAACAAGTTCGACTGATATTGGCAACATTCTAAAACGCTGGCAAATTATCACCGATAATCGTAATATTCATCCAGACATTTTTGCCCGATGCGTTATTTTGCATATATTAAACATTACAAAGCGGCAAACGAGACGGCGAGAAAAGACGTCAACGATGATTCTAAGAACGAAATTTCTCACTCGTTTATGGAAAATCACCGCGATTCATTGCAAATGAATTCTTTCGAATGAGGATAGGGACAAGGATAATTCGTTTCCACATCTACTGTATACTAACACTAGAACTATCGACGATTGAAATGTTAAAATTTATGGCAAAGAAATGAAAATGGAAGAAACAGAAAAAAGAACACTTGCGATACGATGAAGAAAACGCGATTTTCTGTTTATGTATTTTTTTACTAAAAATCATTCGAGTCCCTAAAAATACGCTGTTGGAAATATATGAGATTTCTATGAAAAATTCAAAGATAATTCGTTTCTACATCTACTGTATACTAACACTAGAACTGTCGACGATTTAAATGTTAAAATTTATGGCAAAGAAATGAAAACGAGAAACACGAGTTTCTGTTTCGAGTCTCTAAAGATACGCTAGATAAAATTTCTACGAAAAATTCTAAATTAATCCATTTTGACCATTTTGGCCGTCCCAATCGTGTTAAACACGACGAGTGTATTAAATACTCGATATCCCCGACTACCGAATGCAAAGCATCATTTAATAATCTTTATCGAGGGAGAGACAAAGCAATCAGTAGGAAATACCTGTTGTTAATGCCGTCTTAACGATAACGATCGTCTACTTACAATTGACTTTTCACTTTTGCTATCAATCGTGATCGTGTATTGAAGAACGCGTGCACGGCGTGATATTTTTCTCTGATTATGCGTGATTGCTGCAGATAACAGCTGAAGATAATAATTTAACATACCATAATAAAATGATGTGATACATTTAACCTTTTCACTGCGGCGCACTTTCACAGCAAATTATCAGTACAGACGGCGCGATATTCTACTGTTAGTCGCTGCGACTGGTTGTCCATTAATCAAAACGGTGTCTGGAGATTTGATACTATTCTTAAAGGTGGGGAACAAATACATAATTACATACGTGATAAATTAAAAATATCCAGCATTTGGTCAATTTTAAGTGGTTTTCTAAGCTATTTTTAATTTACTTAATTTGCACGTTCCTTCAATAATAATTCGTTAAAATGATGCAAAATTGACAATGAGGAACAAATTTATTTCGACGATTTTGACACAATAGAGAACAAAGATAATATAAACGAATAAAGATAGTAGAAACAAGGGGACTTGGTTAGAGGACGTGTGTGGTGAAGAGTGCTGTATGACAGATGTGAAAAAATAAAGAGTTAAGGTAAATAAAAGGGAATAAATTACAAAAACCAAGGCAAAAGAGGGTAGAATAGGGTAGAAGCTTACCATAGAGAAATAAATAGGTAAATAGAGTAGCGAATAATAGAGGAAATTAAAAAAGGGAGATTAGGTTAGAAAGCGTGGAATATCCAATCTTATTAAAAGCGGAAATAGAAAGAAACAGTAAAGAAACAGATACAGTAAAGAAATACAGAATACAATAAAGAATACAGTAAAGAAAAACAGAATACAGTAAAGAAACAGAAATAGTCACTAAATTTAAGGTGATTTAAGATAGTAGAAACAATTTAATAATCAATTTGTGTGCGATATATTCTAAAGTATGGATCAACGCATAAACCTACTTCGCATTCTTTGCATTGATATCTACTTTCTCGTCGGATTTTATGTTTCGTACATATCACACACTTTCCTGCGTTTTCTTGATTTTTTCATTTCGCAGCTAGATTGAAATATTTAATTGGAAAATACCTTTCGATAAGACGTAACGATTATCACTATTCTTTCTCCCTTGATATATATTTGAAGTTTCTAGATATTTTCCAAATATTTGTTTGATCAATTTTAAATAAAATTCGCCTTTAGCAGTGAAAGGTATATTTTACGCACAATTCGCGAAATAAGCAAACTTGGCATTTTTTGACCCCTGGTTCGTGCGAAATACCTAACAGTAACAGTGCAAAATAAACGAATACAAACATTACGCTAATTACACGAAAATTCTGCAAAAGAATTTCCATTCTTTAAGACAGGAAATATTAATATATTAATACGAAATTAAACGAAATATAATATATTGATATTTAGATAGGAAGATAATCTTTGACGGATGGAACTTGGCTTAGTTATATATTAATTAAAACGATATCGTTTATCTGATCTGTTTGCTTGGTCTGTCGATAATCTATTTGCTTCGTACCAGATTAAAAGATTCCCTCTACGTAACCCATTTATTGCCAATAAATCTAAAAATCATCGTTAACGAGTTTATTTTGTCTGTTGTTTTGAAATCTCGTAATTAACTGCGTGCGTGTACAGCTGAAAATCGGGAAACGGGTTCATCCAAATAATTCTCAAGCTTTCGTCAAATATGTTTCAAATTAGACCAGTTTCACTCTTTCGAGTTAGACAATATCTGCAGAATTGCAAAATTTTCTTCCACTCTTTTGCAAAATATTGTGTCAAGTGTGTTGGAATATAACCGAGGCAAGACAAATAATAAATTTATCACTCCTCAGTGATTTCTATCCAGATTGTATACGGCTTGGTCACTCGTTATGGTCCGCGAACCAATTAAACTGCAGACAACTCGAGCCTTTAAATCCCCCCTCCTTCGAAAAGCTACGAAACGATCACGAGGTTATGGCAACGGCCAAACGATGCATCGCGTTGCAGCGCGTATTTGCAAATAAAACGATCGGCATGCTACTTCCGTCGTCAAAACACGTTCTTACGTGCCACTTTCTTAACGCGTATGAATTATGTATACTGTGTTTCATTCACAAACAGAGGCTGCTTATTATTTCACGGAGAGATTTCGGCGAACATCCAACTTGCAATCACAACCACCGACTGTGTTTTCTTTGTCTTTTTCCTTTTTGAAGAAATAATCACGTGTATTCCTGGACCATGCGACTAAATGGCGACAAGAAACGCTACAACGAACGAGTCGTCTAAACGAATTGTAAACACGTGTAATAAATAGGTACGTTGTAGAGATTGTAAAATTTGTGACAATATTTCAATATGCAAAGAGCATAATCCTTTCGCGATAATTTAAAGAGGGCAATAAAGAATGCCTCAGCAAATGAGATTTTAGGCTCGTTCCCTCTGCAGAATGTTTGATTAATATACCTCTGTTCATTCTTTATATTTATATACCTCTATCCATTCTTTTCCTAGCTTCATTATCATTCTCCATAACTCGTACTCTTTACTATGCACAGCGTGTATTAATACTACTATTAATTACAAAAGTTGAGCGTAAGATAAAGGTACTTTGATATCTCATCTCATAGCGTGAAATTTTCGTCATCTTGACAATAAACGTTGTTTAAGTCTATCCAGTATTTCAGTCTACTCGACGAACTCAACAAACATATCCAATTCCAATTATTTAATTCCTAATAAACTCTCAATTTTATCGCCTGGTAAAATGGTAAAATCGTGGTCTTGCACGATTGTTTATCTCTTACGTTTCATCAGATTATAAATTCCCTTCGTAACAAACCATCCATACAATCTACGCATAACGTTATACTCAAAACGGAACATATTTGACGTTTTAACCTCTTGCGCTGGAACGACGTGCCTGAATCAAGAACTTTTTGCAATAATTCCTCAGTCTTCTCAAATATATATTTAAGTAGAAACAAAATACAAATTTATTACTTCTCAATATTCTTTTCTATCCAGTGATACCGTATCGATGGAGTTATTGTATACGGTCGTTCGTTATGGTCCGCAATCAGTTGCCAGCGCGAGTGGTTAAAACCAGCAGGATCGTCACTTACGTTTTCTCTAGCGGTAGATTCTTAATTACCGTGTCGCAGGTGTCCCTCGAGTACTTGTTGTAACCGAGGTAGCCGAACACGATGTACATGCCGGTGTTGAGCAGCATGTTGCACGTTATCAGCCACGGTAGGTGTTGCGGCTTCTTCATCGAGTTCTCCAGCGGCAGGCAGAGGGTGACGTTGTGAAGGGCGAAAAGGAACAGGCTGCAGTACATCGGCACCGGAAGCACGGAAGTGAACGCCTCTAACCTCGCGGGATCGGGCACGTCCTCGAGAAGATAGTACAATGTGACGAAAATGCCGATGAACATGAAGAGCGCACCGATCACGGAGAACGGCGCCAGGTGTCGCAGGTCCCGGACAAGACCCAACAGACAGACGAACGGCGACAACGCCAGTATGTAGACCCGCGTGTCCATTTCAATGCCGAAGGAAAACTCAATCACCTGGAAATCAAAGAATTTTTCGTTGTGAACCGAATGACGGAGATGTGTCGATGATGGGTAATAATTTTCAGATCGGGAATTTCAATAAATTTGATAAATTAAAGATAAGTCAAGGACACTCTCCAAGTGTTCTTGCAGAGGGCAACGAGATAGTGCACGTGCGCTGTTCTTTCAGTTCTCTAGTTCAACGAACTACATATGTATAATATGAATATATATGTAATATAAATTCTACATATATTTACATATAAATATAATATAAGTTATATATATGTAATTCGTTAAATTAGAAAGTGAAAACTCATAATAATATATATATATATATATATATATATATATAATAATGGAATTATTAATATTATAATTAGAAGGTGAAAATAATAATATATAGTAATATAAAAATAATACTCAATAATATATATATATATATATATATTATAGTGGAATTATTATTATTATAATTAGAAAATGAAAATAATAATATATAACAATATAAAAATAATACTTAATTATATATATATATATTATAATGGAATTATTGCTATTATAATTAGAAGGTGAAAATAATAATATATAATAATATAAAAATAATACTCAATAATATATATATTATAATGGAATATATATATTAATATATATATTATAATTAGAAGGTGAAAATAATAATATATAATAATATAAAATAATATAATAATACTCAATAATATATATATATATATATTAATGGAATTATTATTGTTATAATTAGCAGTTGAAAATAATAATATTTAATAATATAAAATAATATATAATAATATAAAATAGTAATATATAATAATAACACTCAATAATATATATATTATAATGGAATTTATATATATATATATATTATGTATAAAGAAATTTTCTGTCCGCAGGTTAACTTAAATTTTTACTTGTTAAACGCTCAACATTTGTAAAATATTCAAAGCAACACTTTGAAAGTTTAAAAAGGTTGAAAATTGACGAAGTTCGTTCGTGACGAAAAGAAAGAAAGCCTGGAACCCTCCCTGCTTTGGTAAACAGAAAATGGTCCTTACGACTCGTTCCTCACTTGCTCAAACGAAGTGGCCACGTAGAGGATGTATATGACGCTGGCCTGGAAATGGACGAAACAGACGATCACGTTGATCGTGATGCCGAACGTTTTCCCGTATTTTCGAAGCTCCGATGGACCGTTCTTGAAGGAGACCTCCGCCGTTCTCGCGAAATCCAACATCGGTATGCGATTACGTCTGCACAGTATGTGAGCTGATCGTATCTGCAGTTCAGAGAACTAGTTTTTAGCTCGCGAGCACACGAATTCGCCACTGTGACTTCCACGATTGACACATCGATCGTTTATAAAAGGGAAATTCATACGAAAAATCGTGTAATTTTTTTTTTTTTTTTTTGTAAAGCGATACCACACTTTGCAAGTATTCTCTTTTTCGTACGATGTTAGTATTCTCTGTGGTACTCGGCACTGATTGGAAATAATACCTTGTAAACTAATTTCAACTCGATTACTTGATTATCAAATGAAAAGAATTTAATTTATTTAATTTTTAAAATATATCGGTCTGTGATAATTTCTTAAAGGAAATTCCTAATTTTATCTGTAACAAGTGTGTCAAGAATACATGTCATTTTCTTACATATACGTTGCTTGTTACACAAGCGAACTTAAAGCAGAACAATCAAATAAAATTCGTTCAGATTTCGTTGGTGCAACAGTTCTCAGAATACGTCAAACTGAGGAAGAATGATCCACACGTGTCCCCTGTATCCAACTTTCACTCAGAGGATAATCACTGCCTGGCTTCATTGGTACTTTTAATTATTTTCACGCGATTATACAATCGCTCGCGTAATCGCTTCGGCTAATTAATTATTACACAAAAGTCCGTCCACTTTCATCCTCTTCGGTTGCTTCCAAATGAAGTTACTCACCAATGCCACCACGGTGTGAGTGCACAATAGGCCAATAACAACACCGCAGATCATCGACATCACGTAGCCAGCTCTTCGGAATCCATTTGGCAAGAAAAGTATCCCGGTGCCGATCGATGCTTTACACAGGTGCATGAACGTGGCAAAGTCTCTGGAAATGGTTTTACAATCGCGTGGTCAGTGAATTGCGCAGTGATTTTGCCTCGATTTTCAATTTTAAAATCGTTTGAAAATATTTTACGTAGTTGGAGTCGATATTAGTTCGTTCAATTTTATTCGATTCAATTCTACTATTTAATTTTTATTTATTATTTAATTTCACTCGATTAAACTAAAATTCGAAATTATTCTATTTTATTCGATTAAACTAAACGACTAAACTGTATTATTAGAGGCATGTATGTTCGTTTAATTTTATTACTTAATTTTACTATTTAATTTCAATTTAATTTTAATTTTACTATTTAATTTTACTCGATTAAACTAAACGGCTAAACTATATTATTAAAGGCACATATGTTCGTTTAATTTTATTACTTAATTTTACTATTTAATTTCAATTTAATTTTAATTTTACTATTTAATTTTACTCGATTAAACTAAACGGCTAAACTATATTATTAAAGGCACATATGTTCGTTTAATTTTATTACTTAATTTTACTATTTAATTTCAATTTAATTTTAATTTTACTATTTAATTTTACTCGATTAAACTAAACGGCTAAACTATATTATTAGAGGCATATATGTTTGATTTTATTCGATTTAATTTTATTATTTAATTTTAATTTACTATTTACTAATTTACTATTTGATTTTGCTCGATTAAATTAAAATTCAAAACTATTCAATTTTATTAGATTAAACTAAATGACTAAACTATATTATTAAAGTCATATATGTTCATTTAATTTTATTCGATTTAATTTTAATCTACTATTTGCTAATTTACTATTTGATTTTGCTCGATTAAATTAAAATTCAAAACTATTCAAGTTTATTCGATTAAACTAAACGACTAAACTATATTATTGGAGCAACATATGTTCGTTGAATTTTATTCGATTTAATTTTAATCTACTATTTACTAATTTACTATTTAATTTTACTCGATTAAACTGAAATTCGAAACTATATTATTAGAGGCACATATGTTCGTTGAATTTTATTCAATTTAATTTTAATTTACTATTTACTAATTCACCATTTAATTTAAATTCAAATAACACTATTTAATTCTACTCGATTAAACTAAAATTCAATTTTATCCGACGAAACGACTAAACTGTATTATTAGAGGCGTACGTTCGTTTAATTTTGTTCGATTGAAAGTGAAATAAAATGACTTCGTACGAGGTCAATAGTCTCGACGGGGGACGATGCGCGACAAAATCGTACTCCTCTTCCTGGTCTCCATCCCGATTTGGATTTTCCGCGTGTCTCCCTTTTATCGTCGTTAACGATCTGTCATTGACAAGGAACGAATAAAGAACATTTCAAAGCAGGTCTGGGTTAACTATACTTGTCGGCCATATCACGAGTTCCCTACAACTCTCTGCAAGGTTTCTCCCCCTTCTTCCTCTTCTTCTTCTTCTTTTCTGTTTTTCCTTCGTTGAAATATCCGGAAGTTTCGTTCCCGGACTTCCAACGATGACACGCGAGCACCGTTGAATTTTAATCGACGACCTCGTACACTGTCGGGCAACAACTGGCCTCTGTTGCTTGACCCATCACCATCCTAGCTCCTTTATTGCTACGTGAAAACGTACGTACCATATAGACGTTGTCAATGAGCTACCAGAATGGTCAAAACCGATAATTTAACTATATAAATAATTTAACTATATAAATAAAACTTATAATTTTTGTTGGAAATTTCACGGACGTAGAACAACGTGTTTTTAGAGTTTCAAGCGAGTTTTGATAGAACGTATATGCTTTATTGTTAACATAAAGCTTTCCTGTTTCTTTCGCTCTTTAATGTCTCTGATGAAAATTTTGTGCCTCAGTAATACTAATGTCAACGTTCTTTGATGGCATTACAAATTCTAACAGAGTATTTATTATATTTTCAAGAACCTGAATTAAAGATAATTTTTTATTCACTAACTATAACAACTATACGTTTTATCAATCTTTCCTACGAATTTTTGTAATTTTATAATTTTCTGTGTGCATGCATGAATTCTATTATTGTATTTTACACTATCTAGATGTACAGAAAAAAATTCTCTTTCATTTTAGTTTAAGGAGTGTCAGTCTATTATTGACTTGAACTTTAATTCACTCGATTTGTGTATTATAGAGGAAATTTAGATAAAAGGAAACATTCCAAAGAATTAAATATTTTCGATGTTTGGATGAACAACAGACGAAAAGTTCGTAAGCAAACGTAACTTAAAATAAGAACGAATGTTTTATTAACCTATCATACGTTGTACGATCTGACAGAAATCGAAATTAAATTATACGAGATCAAAATGTATAAACGCAATAAAATAACGAGACAAGGTACATACAATCTTGTACTAGACTAATACTTAGCTAAGAAGTATTAGAAAACTACTTACCTAATCACCTAATGGACAAAGAAAGTAGCTCTCTGCATAACTTTAATTACACATGACGTGGCGAAATGAAGTAATTACGCGTTGGCAATCTGAACGTAGTTAAATGTAAAAAAATTTGTCGTAAAAATTATTCGAGTGTAATAAAAATTTCTGCACGCTTCTTTCGAAACTTTCTAGACAAAATAAAAATACCATCTTCAATCTATTTTCTTATGCCACAAATTTAACTTTATCGAAGGGAATAAAACGTGTAGAAAAAAAAAAACATAACGCCTAGCTTTAAGTATTATAAATTTCCACTAAAAGAAAATTGAGAAATTCATCGCGGAAAAAGACTAATACGTTCGTTGTAAACGTGAGCGATTAATCCATTGACGACACATTATTTGACGAAAAAAAAACGGATCTTCAACGCCAAACACGCACCCAGTAAAATTAAAAACTTAGAAACTATACAAGCAACGATAACATTATCCACTCGTTGAAAAAGATAAAATTATCAGAGAGTGATTAAAGTGCACATGCCCTCTGCAGATTATACAGGTGACGAAAAACCAGTAGTCCGCCACACGTACGTAATGTCGTGTTTTATTAATCGGATCACATTATCGCAGATATCGTTACACAGATTCATCTGTACATTTAAACTAACTTTCTTTAAATAATTCACGATGCCGTAATACGTATATATACAAATTGTGTCGGGCGTGTATCGTTTAATAAAACAATCGTTTGTTTGATCAGCCGCGAGCCGGGGCACCGGTGGTACGGACTCGACAATAAGTCTAGTAATCAACGTATAATACAACGACGATGAAGGGATACTTGCTATCATCGAGAGAAAAAGAGAAAAAAGAAAAGTAAAATAAAGGAAGCTGCTAAAGTCGGCGCAGTCCGCTCAACACTCTCCTCGCTCTCGTTTTTCTCACAGTCGTTAATTAAGGTATAAAAATAATAGCCTCCAGTCGGCACTAACTGAAGTTAGTCCGCCAACTGTACACACACACACACGCGAATGTGGAGAATTGTGGTATCTGAGCATTTATCGTTTTCATATCACTCTCTCTCTCTCTTTCTCGATTCACATTTACGCGTTTTTCGTCTCGCGACGCAAGGGTGACGCGGTTAAAAAACGAAAAACTCACTCGGCTCACGCAATTCTCACACGGCCTCCATTCGGTTTTTGGTTCCCCATTCTCTCTTCCTCTCTTTCTCACGCTTCGTTCGTTCCCACATTCGCTCTATCTCTCTCGCCATTCGCGTAAAAATAGTTAGGCACTAAAAACAATAATACAATATAAGTAAAGTCCGTCAGTCCTATGTGAGTTCAGTTAAGAGTTAATCACATCATGTTCTTTCTTATCTTTTCTTTTTTCTTTTTTCCTTTTTTTTCTTCTTTCATTTTGCACGATCAACTAAGATCACTGCGATTAAACGCACGAATGCTCGATGTCTCTGCGGTCGCTACCCCCTTTCTCCCTTACTTTTTTTAAATAACAAAATTGGTTGAAGCAAGGAACTGTGTGATATCGTAATGTTTCTTCTTACCGAGCCGTTACACGATCCGACTAATTCTAGGTCCGTTGACCTATCAATTCTACCTTACAGCGAACCTTATGACATGATTTTTGTTTTCCTTTTTATAGTAGAAACGACGCTTCTTTGACACACAATTATTCGTTTATCTTTTTCTTTTCTTCTTCTTTTATTAAGCGCGTGTATATTTTCAAGTGAAAATATCCGGGGCACTTCGAACATTCAAAACATTCACAGACAGAAAGATTCTTCGAGTCGCGCAACACGTAACGTGCGATGATTTAACAAATAATTTACAGTGAATAATTCGATTCGAGAAAATGTACAATTTTACAAACGAAGATAACGTACGTTTGAACGTTCGCTAGAGTAATTTCAAGCCATCTTTCGCGTCGCAAAAAAGAAACGAACCCTTCGAATACCGAGAAATGCCCCAAACAAGCACTCGTTCACCTCCACTTCCACTCGACTCGATTAGATCAGAGAACAACGTTCGACAGATGATTAAATTCTAAAATTTATGAATATTCATAGTTCGCGGTGATCGAGCATATTGTCAAAGATACATTTCCTTTTTTCTTTTTTTTTTTTTCTTTTCATACCTTGCCTGATATGTGTGCTTCTACAAAAAGCTTCTATATAATCTATTCGTACACTCGGACAGGCTTCTTTCTGAGTTTTTCCTTATCAGTTTCTTTTTTCTGGAGAGAACCTCGAGAGATTTCCGAACAGAGCGTCCTTACGAATCTTTTTTCTTACGCGAAGATCGGCGCGATCGTAGTATGTTTCACATGCACACAATAAATAAATTACATTAATCACAACACAAGTTGAAACGAAAGGTACAAATGCCATACAAATGGAATACGAGACTGTCGAATTTGCAGCATGGAATGTTTGCGATCGTAATGTCATTTTTGTTTCGTTCATTGTTATTATATAATCTCCTCGTGCATATCGCCATTTTTTAATTAGATTGTTCCTTCTCTGTTTCTATTTTACAAGTATCACAATGTGAGGAAATGTTCGAATATTTCAACGGGGAGTGAAATTTGACTAAATGATAAGTTAATAAACGCAATTTTTTTAAACTGAAATAGTTTCTTCGCTTGTTCGATAGTTTTCTAGTACGTGCACGATAGAACGTGATTGTGAAAAGTATCTCGCATGAGAAGATTAGCAGAATCAGTTCGTTTATATAATACAAAGCATATGAATATCAAAAATGTTTCCATTTCGCTATTTGTAATTCTATGCAAGAGATTTTCCAACAATAATGAGACAATTTTCGTGTCAGCAGACAGCGTACAGTCTTAAGGTATAAAGATACATGTCTAAAATGCACAGAAGTATACATTTCAAAAAACTTTGTCGATTCAAAGTAATGAGAAACGTGTACTTTACCAAACCTGTTGTCAACATTTGCATACACAACTCTGCTTGGTGCGCTATACGAAACAGTGCAATTCGTTCACTTGTAAAAATCATTTCCTATTATCGTGTTAAAACAAGAGACTGATATTCTTAAATAAATACTCGAGATTTTTTATCAACAGCAAAATATCAAAATTAAACGAATACTTATTGAACAAATAATCAATAGATTCAAAACAAATAGTGAAAATAAATTCTTTCCTTTTTCATGTTCACAATTAACGATACTGGAATATTTAAAACTGGAAATATCCTTTAAAAGGGTTATTAAAGGGTTATTAAAGGGTACAGTGATATAAATCCATTTATAGTGTCTCTCGAGATTTTCATTCGTTTTCTAATAATTCTCAAGAACAGCCATTAAAAGTATCGCATACTTCTCAATAATCTATAGATATTAGCAATTTGTTATAAAATGTTAAAATGTTCATTTCTGGAAAAATTTGGAAAGGAGTAACTTCGAATTTGTTCATAGAAAAGTTCTTGTCTCTTTTTTAAATCGATTAATAAAATCGATTATTTCTTTCTCGATCATGTTCACGATCTTCGATTGATCAAAGGTACATATATTTCTCAAAGATTTCGAATATTGTACTTTCAACAAATAAGACAATTTTGCTTAAAATATTTGATACGTCAGTATATCATTCATTCGATACTGCAAATGAACACACATCGGTGTATATACCACACGCGGTTTTTCAATCTCTTTATGTTGAACGTATACAATTTCCCTACCAAGGTTATAAAAAAAATGATAAATTTCTTGTCAGTGTTATTACAGTCGATACGTAATATAATTCCATAGTGCCTGAAATAAATTCGATTTACAAACTGCGCACGAAAATGCACGTAAAATGCAAAGTGAAAATGCCTAAAGTGACGATGATCAAAGTTAGATGACAAAATGGAGCAATCCAGCGTCTACAAAAATATTTCACTGCTATGATCGTCAAATACGCTGTTCATTAAAGAATCTTGATACTTTAAACTCGCAATTCATTTACGAATTCAGAGCACAATTCACTCATTGCGTTTTCGTCAAATTTGTCTTTTGAACTTACAAAAGAAAAAAAGAAAAAAAAAAGAAAAAAATCTCGCGAAATACTAGTCGAAGAAAATCAATATTACAACATCCATGTAATAATTTTTCATACTTGAAGACGCGAGCCTAATTCAAACGTAATACTGATTTTTTTATATCGTTCTTACTTATTATTTACAATTTTCATTTTCGAATATTCGAAACAGTAAATCCGTCGATCAAGAATTAATTATTCTACTGCTAAACCTATATTTACACATTTGCTTCATCTTATCGGACAAACCGATATCTTTATTCTTCAACAATAAAAAAAAAAAAAATAAAAAAAATCGTATTCATCTTCAAGTACAGAATGAGTCTTTCCTTTATTGCCGAATGTCGTTACCCCTTTTCCTTTGTCGATCAAGCGAGCCCAATCCATCAAGATTCCTTAAACGTTTTCGTTGAAACAAAACGACAAGCTTCGCGCGATTCAACTGTCGTTCGAGATCGGATGACACTCGAGGGAATCGCATTCGGCGAGCGCTTCGCCACGGCGGAGCGAGAACTCGTCGGTCAGCAGGCTTTCCGGCAGCATCGCCGCCGAATCTATGCTGTCGAAATAGCGATGGGGCCAGACGGAACTCTGCCGGAAGCGTCTGGTCGGCGAACCGATGATAAATTCCACTTTGGTCGTGCCGGTCACCGACGAAGTCTCTTGATTCAAGGAGTCTAGGTACAAAGAGGAATCGCTGTGCCGGAAGCTGCCGTTTGTCGAGCACCAAGAACTCGGTGGTTCGGTGCAGCTCTGAAAAACATCAACGCCCGGTTAGTGACGTTTCGTTCCACACTTTGCAAACGATCTGCGGACGAGAACTCGAGATTTCTTTTTTTTTTTTTTTTTTT